GCCAAAAGCCTCAGTAAATACACAGATAAACTAGATTAATCAATAGACATTACAATTATACAGAAGCCAGCCGCCATTTACACAACAATCATTGTTAGTGAAGTACTAGGATGTACAGTTTTCGTCACAAACATTTTAGATTCCGATCAATTACAACCATCCCAAGAGGATACACCACACACCACTCATTCAACCATCACACAAAGCTCACAATCCACAACTGGCATACAATATACATCAACACAAAATTCATAACAACAAACAAAAAGTGTCAGTAGCACAGAAATATTAAATATATCTGTGGTCAGTAGCAAGTAATCAGCAGACAGAAGAAGGAGATTTTTTTAAGGAGGGAACATCGTTGATTGACTGAGCGTGAAGAATGACTGAACATCGTTGAATGAATGAGGGAGTGTCTGACTCTTACTGACTAATAATCCACCCCGTTCCTACTCTTGCACTTCGAGCCGGAGCCTTGGTAACCCGTTAAGTTCTCCGCGGCTCCGTATCGGCATCAGCCCTATTGGGCCCCATCCGTGGTGGTCTGATGACTGACTGACTTGAGGCGCGCGCTGAACGCGATGCGCCGTACGCTCGGGAAGGAGATTTAGAATTCAGATTTAGAAGGGGGCAATGAGCATCAGTTTTCCTGCTAGAATCCCGTACTGCCTGTCAATCCCGAGTAGGAATGCCCTCCACATGAGATATACAACAACGATCTGTGAAAGTCCATTGCTAGTGGACTATCGGCCTCCTCTGTATACTATGGTTTGCCATAAAATTCATACTTAATACGGATCGCAATTTACAAGCTTCAGCCATACACTGATCTAAATCAAGGTACCGAACCTCAAGGTTAGATTCATTATTTGTTTTTATAGGTAGCTAACAAGTCCACTGCTGGGCAAAGGCCTATTCTCACAGGGAGAAGGAATGACTATTAATCACCACGATGACTCAAGGAAGATTGGCGATTACAAACTTATAATTAAAAATTATAGGCCCAGGTTACCTCACGATGTTTTCATTCACTGTTTGTCAGTTACAAATTATATTATATTAAAAACTCTCTTATAAAATCTAGTATTATTTTAGACTTTGCACAGAAAGTATTAGATAGTATACTAGTATGAAGTTTGTACTTGATCGAAGTTCGAAGTCTATCGCAAATAACTTCGCAGATAACTCGAAGTTCAAGGGTTGTAGGAAATATTATAGTAGTGTATTATGGCCATGTTTTTAATTGAAAATTGAGGGATAGGAATAGACAAGTATTTATAATTTTCTCTGTTTTGTTCATTTTTCGTCACGTAGCTTCTCAGTGTTATACTTCATTTCGATATCTGTTTGGTAACATTCATATATTTATTTACCACTTCAATTTTAAGAACTCTCAAAAATTCATAAATAATAAAAACTCATTTTTAAATATTCAAACAGGGAAGTATAAATTAGTGAAATGGGCAAGGCTTTAATTAAAAAAAAATAATCTTAAGTAGATACCTACATATACTTAGCTAAATTATTTTTTTTGGAACTACACTCAAGCATTACTTTCTGAGCTGAACTTCCAAAAATTACAAGATTATGTACTTAGTACCTAAGAACGATCAAGTCATTACCAAAATGAACTGAAGTAAACAAACTATTTCTCCCAAGAACGATTATATATACTATAGTTTCTAGCGAATTTTTTAGCATTAGTAGATCTTGATGGTCAGTGTTCACACTTTTTTCCTATTATCTGTGAAAACATCTACCAGTGACTGTATTCTTGTCTAAACAAACCAATTTGAACTTCTAATAAGTTCACGATTTCATCATTTCCTACTTGACTTTGCAGAAAAATATTTATAGTTTGAAACTAAATATATATTTTTATCTCATCGTCCGATGTTGAATTTTAACAATATAACAAGGAACTATGTATTATTGTTTTGACAACAATGTAATATGTAGGTATTTTAATATAGATACGCAATAGAATAGTTTACAATTTTCTACTCCATACGTAGTACATGTTATGCATGCGTCATTTTGTACATATAGCAACACTTTGTAGTATCTGTAACATACTACAAATATAAGAACATGATATCGCGCCTGTTATCCCTGAAGTTGAAATATTTTCTGAGTGTGTAATAAATAAACGACAAACCGTTCAAATAAGGTTCTAAAGGAATATGTATCAACTAAACTCCTATATAGGTTTAAGACGCTGACTTCTCATGCATGAGAGTGCGGGTTCGAAACCTACCAAGTACCAATGTGACTTTTTCCGAGTTATATGTACTTTCTAAGATTATTTGAACACCACTGACAAACGGTGAAGTAAAACATCATGAGGAAACCTGGACTTATAATTTCTAATTATAGGTAAGTTTGTGATTGCCAACCCGCATTGAGCAAGCGTGGTGATTAATGCTCAAACCTTGTCCGTGTGAGAAGAGACTTTGCTCAGCAGTGGGCATTTATAGGCTGTTGATGATGATACTCCTATATAACAACATTTTGTAGTATGTCTAGGCTGCCTCGTTGGCCGAGTGGTCGCAAGTGCGTGCGATTGCCGGTTAAGAGGTCTCGGGTTGAATTCCCGGGACGGGCAAACTACTATCGGGATTTTTAAAAATTCTCAGCATTAGCACGGAGTCTGGAATTGTGCCCGGTGTATGGCAATAGGTTCACCCCTATGACATGGGACTTATAACATAAATAGTGAAAAGTGGGTGTTACATTGTACAGTGGCGTTAAGTGCCGTAACGTGCACCTCTGTTTACCCTTTCGGGAATAAACGCGTGATGGTATGTAATGTTTTACCGGTTTTAACAGTTTAATCATAATACATTGATGGTAATGCCACTCTTCGTGAGTAGCTACGAAATATAATTTCTTTCCAATGTTGGTGTGACTATTTTCTACGTAGATACGTAACTAGTCGTACGTTGCCTACGTACGACTAGTCGGACATAGGCACGCGGCGTACGGAGCGTCGCTGTTAAATACTTTGTAAAATATTTCTCGTTAAGACAAAAAACTACACAAGCGCCATCTGTTCATAGCAAAAATCAAAGAAGCAACTCACTAACAAAATAATCTTTATTTAATTTCAACACAATAAATTATACATACATTCAACAATATACAAAAATCGTGACAATGGTAACTTCGAAAATAAATGATTTATTTAAACATATTATGTATTTATATTTGCTAACTCTCATTATAATATTGTACATTAAATTGCATTGTGACTATAAGAAAAAGGAATGTTTTTAAAAACGTATTTTAAAATCATTGCAATAAGATTGCTAATAGCTTAACTAAATAATTAATAATGGAACAACCTATATTTAAAAAATTTGCTATTTTTCATTAAACAAACACCCTGTATTGTTATTATTTCGTCCTCCCTCGATGCTAGTTTCAGTCTGAATTAGCTACTATTGGATTTATGACGGTTCACCAACCACCCCTAAACCACCTTTTAACTAAGAGTTACTCATCGTGACATAGGACCTAAACTAACCCCTTACTTTCAATATTAGGTGTCATATAATGGTTGGCTTAGACAAAAATATCGTTAAAAATCACCAATTACTTAAAATCACTTAGGGGCTTCTTAATATTTGAAGAAGAGGTTGGTGAATAAAGGCACTTATTTTGTTAGATTTATTTTGTAATTAAAAATGTATTTTTTTTTATGTCGATTGTAGGCCTAATAATAAAAAAAATTGTAAATATAAATTATAAGTACGGATCAATAATACATTTAATATTGCTTACAGATATATTGACGTCATACTTTTTGATTACCTAACATGGAATGACATGTAATTAAGGTGTATACGTATTTAAATTTAAATATTTTTGATTAAAAAATGTACGAGACGCCTATTAAAATGCAATATGCAATCTTTGGATTCCAGAGTATCTACTTTAGGAAAGTATCTAAATGGTAATTTTATCAGGCGTTTCATTGTCCCACGCTTTAATAATATTATCATGTTTAAAACCTCAAAGCTTGTTAAAATAGCAATTATATGCCAAATAAATCCTAGTTGCTACAATAAATAAAAAAAATATATAATTAGGCACATTTAAGTGTTTATTATGCTTTCATTTGACTTGATTTGTATTAATTTATCTTCATGTTAAATGGACGGAATCCTGGTGGACCAGAAGGTCAATGAAATTCTTCTTTAATTCAATTCCATTTAAGTATTTTCTTTAAAAATCTGATTGTTTATAAAAACATTATCCAAATAAACAAAACGAAACCTTCTAATACTGACATTATAATTTCATCAAATTCATTTAAACCAAATTGATTTATCAAAAACCAAGGTTTTGTTTAAGTGTTTTAGTATTACTATTACCGTCAAGCAAATATAATAAATTAATTTAAATATTATATTATACATAGCATTACTCCTTCGTACCGGATTTGCTCATGTATTAAGAGCCAAGGTTTAAGTGGAAACCAGTCGAGCTTTTCTCAAATCTCGAATAGTGAGTGAATAATGTTCAAATACTCAAACGTTACTCAATTTTAAGTTGCGCTTAATTATAGTTCTGTCACTATTAATTCTTTGTTAAAAGATAGAAATGGCACGTTATTTAAGTACAATTGAGTTAACTTAAAATTGAGTAGCTTTTCAGTATTCGCGCGTAAGACAGTTTATTTCAAATATATATATTTTAATGATTACTAAGGCGTATTGTCCTCGACGCGTCATTTCACGAATACATGCAACTTACAAATGACGTTAGGCGGATTTATGTGAGGAGTGACGCAACGTTGCCGCTTCGTGCCGACAGCTATCATTGTTTGTAAGCAAGATGAGAGTATTTGTCATTTGTAGGTCGCCGGTTGTCATTTGTAGGTTGCATGCATTCGTCAATTGACGCTTCATGAACAATAAGCTCAAAGGTATCTGTTATCACTTTATGTCGTGTACTTAATAGTTCTAATTGTAAGGGTCTTCCGACATCGTTGATGGTCATCGTGTTGATCCCATTGAAGACAGGACGGCTCTTGGTACTGTCAACGTACTCGTTGGTAGCGGTGGCTCCTCCCAAGCTACTGGGAGACCGTACTTCTTCGGTTTTAGTACGTAGATAAACTGGAAAATGAATAGAAATGTTTAGTTAGTAAAATGTTGACGGTTGCAATAAGATTTGTCATTTCTTAGGTCTTTTTTATATTTGATCAGCCTACGTTTGGCCACTATGTCGCCTGTGTGTGTGTGTAAGCGATGATGCGTCGTACAATGGCGCACGTCTGCCCTTAAGTAACCTATTCACTCTTGCCTTGAAAACACCCGGGTTGTACCCTTCAGGAAACACATACTCTGGCAATGAAGTTCCTTACTTCAATAATCGTTTTAAAACTAACTATAAAAAATACTGTCACATCCCACGTCTATGATTTCGAAACAAAATACAGACATGGAATTAAAAATTAGACTACGTACTAACAAGGCAATTACAAATTCAAAACAATAGGGTAGTTTCCTAAATTTTATTTCAATGTCCGTCTGGTAGATTATTTTAAAACATTAGACACGTATTTTTTTTCTCACAAAATTAAATGCTTTCGACGATATATTGATTTGAAATGTCGTGTGACGTCACAGCGTGCTACAAAATGTAGCAATTATTGTCAAGGTAAATATTTTTATTGACCAAAAGCCCTTCAATTATCCATGTAATAGGGGGAGAGAAGAATAAGTCCTATGACTCATAACATAAATAGTGAAAAGTGGATGTTACATTGTACAGTGGCATTAAGTGCCTTAATATGCCTCTGCCTACCCCGTCGGGGATGAATGGCGTGATGTTATCTATATAACTACTTACCACAAGAGAAGCAAACGTAGCTCCAATAAGGAACCCGGCAGCGACATCGCTCCAGTGGTGCATGTTGTCCTGGACTCGAGACAAGCCCACAAACCAAGCACCAATCAGCACGGCATACTGTATAGCGTGACGTAACAGCTTCGACCCACGCCACTTGCCCTTTTCTTGGATGTAGAACTGGAAAAAAATAGTGAATTTAAGTATTAACACGTTGAGTGCTGCATAGGTATGGTGGTCAACGGTAGATGTCGGATTTACTTTCAAAGTGTTTCTGTCAGCAGTCAAAGATTTAAGGACTCCTTCTTTTCAATTGAGGTCATCAAAAGAAGGTGCTTCTGATACCGTACTTTGTCTAAAACTTTTACACGTCACACCTAGACCCGAGACTTGAACTGCAACACTTAACCACCCTCGCAGTTCACAGTCCACAATTAACATTCACGTGAAGAGTTTTTGTTGAAGATGAACTATCTTTGGCAGCCGTTTATTATCAAGGAACATAACTGATTGCTACTGACTTGTAATAGTAAAACATTGATGATACTCACAATAAAGAACACAGCGCAATACATGGAGAAACTAGCGTGTGAGCTGGGAAAGGATAGTCTGGCTTCTTGAATCTTGGCTGCGTCGTTACCTCCACATTTATAGTCATTGATGTACCCCAGAATGTTCGCTGAGGAGTTTGCTACAGGGAACGGCATGCAAACCTGCGGATGAAATTGACAATCTTATACGACATTCGAGAAGTACGTCGCTATACTTTATGTGACTAAAATTGGTAGTATGGGTCATCTGCGATGATGACAAGAGACACAAAATGACTGAATTTTTGGATTTCCGAACAGTGGTAAATAAATCTTCACATTTTGAGACTTAAGTGATATTACTTACGGAAAAGTGTTTAATCATCATTATATCAGCCGTAAGACGTTCACAGCTGTTCATAGGCTTTCTCCAATAACTTGCATCTGGAATCCAGCTGGTTCGAATTGAAGTAAATTGCGATTAATAAACCGCTACTATCAGTACTCACTTCATAGAAATGTGGCCTTAGTCTACCAATAACGTATTTGGCGAAGTCTGACGTAAGTTGCTGACAGGATGCTCCAAAGGCGAAGACACCAATACTTCGGTAGCTCTCCCAGACCCAGCCGGGCATCACAGACCCTGATAGGAACCTCTCACCAGCACCCTTCCCTTTTTTGTCTCGAATTATTTCCACTAGGAGTATCTGAAATAGTCGGAAGAATTTGTGATTAAAATATAGTAATGTCAAATTCCCTATCAGACGACATCACCCATGGGCCAGGCAGTACACCAGTTATGTTTAAAATCCCATATAAGGGTGTGAGACTACTGCTGCAGATCGGGCACAATTCCAAATTCAGGCGTTGAATTTTTTTGATAGGACAGTGTTTGCTCACTAACTCGCCTAGTGGTAAACGGTGATGTGGCTGACGATGGACCACGCCTACAATAAACAACCTCTTCATTAGAGACTTAAAGACTTTTGGAAACACAGACTCTTGCAAGAAATTCCACTGCTAATAATCTACAATAACCGAAAAAGTCAAATTATACTTTGAACGATGTGGAAATAGGACCCGATACCCCTTGTTCAGTAGGTAGTAGCGCTATCATTACACATGATCAAAGTCTTTGTTTTGAATAAATTTGAATTTGAAAATTTGAAGTCAACTGTTTGAACTTCAAGAAAAGTGACTAATTTAAGAGATTAAGAGACATCATTAATCTAAGTAAATATTTGTCAAAATGTATGTTTCCTATTATATCTGTCTGTAGACTAGGTTAATGATCCTTTCTTTGTCTTTCTTTAGTGTTTGTTTAGGATAATGACATTCTTAATAACTGTGTTCTGAATTAACTTTATTGCGCTTAATCTTGTTTAGTGTCTTGGATTAACCTTAATACCAGCTTTCATTATGTATTTATTGTATTTTTCAACAGTTACAGTTGAATATTTTCGAGTATAAGTGGAGAATGGGACCGTCGGTAGAGGGCGCCATAGACGTACATATACTGATCAGATTGGCGATATATTAAAGAAGGGCCAAATTAAAAGTACCCTTAACCGACGAGCGTGCATAAAAAGATTGATGATTGTTGATGAAGCGATAGAGCGGTATGTGGAATTGTAGCATTGGCGTTCAATAGTCTCTGCCTACCCTCATGGGAAATAGGCGTGAAGTTTTGTATGTATGTATAAGTGGAGTATTGGTTAATTGTGACAGATTTATCTATTTTATTAATTCTCACTATTGTACTTTGTCTACATAAGCCGCTTAAAAAAACATGCTAACATTTTGTTAGTAAAACCGACGTTATGAACGGCCGATGTCTAAAGTAAAACACGTTTAGTTTTTCACTGCAGATTTAAAACTTTATTTAAAAAAAGGAACGGAAGATTAATTCACCTACCATAGACTAGGTGTCGCTAGTTGTCACATTTTGATACAATTATCATTTAGGTATATTATTATTGCCTACTTTTTCAGACGAAATTAGGCTACATCGTAATACAAATAATACATTTTAACATGACTTACCGTACAAACCATGAAAGCGAATCCTGCCCCGCTAGAGCGCTGACGGATACAAGCTGGTCCTTGTAAGGCAGTCGTATCGACATGTCATTCACGTCGTACCCTCGATGGTATGGCGTCGCCCATAGTGCCAGTCCCAGGATCGGGAAGGCGACTGGAAATTAGAAATTACAGGTTTATTAAAATGATCCTGAATTTAAGTCCTTGACAGGCTGTTGAAGGCAAATCCTTGACGTCCAACAATCCCCATGGCCATGGCGTTTAGCGTGGATAAGGTGGTAATAATATATTTTATTTTTTAAGAGTGGGAGAGCCATGCTTCGGCACGAATGGGCCGGCTCTACCGGAGTGATACCACGGCCTCACCTCACAGAAAACCGACGTGAAGCAACGCTTGCGTTGTGTTTCGTCGTGTGAGTGAGGTTACGGGAGGCCCAATTACCCTCCCCTTCCCCAATCTCCCCAATTACACTCCCCTTCCCCAATCTCCCCAATCCCTGAATCCTCAACGATTCTCAAACTCCTAATCCCCAAAAAGCCGGTAACGCACTTGTAACGCCTCTGGTGTTCCAGGTGTCCATGGGCGACGCCGATTGCTTACCATCAGGTGATCCGTCTGCTCGTTTACCGGCTTATGCCGTAAAAAAAATAACAAAGTAATGGGTTATTGTATTGATCATGATACAATGAGTAGGATGCTAGGTACTGAATTCAACTATGAATGAATAGGAGGGAAGAGGGTGACCAAATATTATATGGATGACAGAGATAAAACTTGGTGCTCATTTTTTTACTGAAATTTGTGCTGAAGATAAATATACAATAGACAGTTGTTTGGTAACATAACATAACGCCTTTTATCCCCGAAGAGGTAGGCAGAGGTGTGAATTACGGCACTTAATGCCACTGTACAATGTCACATCCACTTTTCATTATTTATGTTATGAGTTCGGGCACTTTTCGGGTGTTTCGGGCGTTGTGACTGCCGGGCACAATTCCAGACTCCTGTCTACTACTGAGAATGTTTTTAAAAACAGTAATACTTTGCCCGACTCAGGAATCGAACCCGAGACCCCTTGCCCGGCAGTCGCACTTGCGACCACTTGGCTAACGAGGCAGGACAGTTGTCTTGACCTTTGAAAAGAGTTGACTGACCTTAAGAAGTTGTCAATAACTTTAAGCATTCGTCATCGTAAAATTATCATCTGTGTGTTATATTCAGACTTTATTAACACGATAACGTATATGTTAAATAAAGAAAATTTTCGAACGATAATTATGGATAAAGAAAAATGTAGGACATTCGAACATTCTATATTAAATTCGATCGAGATTACAACTTTCTTATCTGAATCCTATTTAGATTTTGTTTTCATGACGTCATAAAACTCCCCTATGGCTTTAAATAGGGGGGGGGGGGGGTTGCCTTTTTAATTGCACTCCGATTAACGTGTATATAGTTTAATGGATTTTTATAAAAATTCTCAGTAGTAGCAGGAAATGTGCCCGATATACGGTAATATTACATGGAACTATTTAACATAAATAATAAAAAGTGTGTGTTACATTGTACAGTGACATTAGGTGCCGTAATGTGCACCTCTGCCTAGCCCTTCGGTCCTTATGTTTAACATAACATCACGCTTTTTATCCCTTAACTAAACATAGTTTAATGTGGCAATTTAATAATGATTTGGCCGAGTGATAACCTCACACTTCTAGCAGTATTAAAGAAGTAGCTACTAAAGGATTAAGTAACAGAGAAGTTGGTCTCTGTTAGTAGCTGAAAGATGTTACAGCATTATTAATAATCCTGAACATTTTAACTGTGGTTGCTCAATCGTGGTAAGCCACTCTAAGTGGAGGTGGTCCATAATCCAGCAATGGTAAGCCACAGGTTGTGGCTGATGATGACGTTAGTGAACGAACTGCAATAAAACGAACCAAGTAGTTCGCTTGCTATCGGTATGCAGTTAGTATTGTACTTCCAAATAAGACGGAACGCTGATTACAAAACTGCCACTGCCATTCTGATGAAGCTGCTATAATTTATACATTAGCTTCTAATATATAAAGTATTTTTGTTTGTTTCACTAATTCTGTTGTTCTGGAGTTCATAAAGGTAACGACTGATGTTGTTAGTTGTACATATGTAGTTGATGGTTAAGTGCAATTAATATGGCTGTGTTATAAAAATGATAATTATAAGTTTTTTTATTAAGTGACAACATTATCACATTGGGTGTAACCTGTTAGGATGTGTTGATTTAAATAAATAAAAAAATATTTTTCCGGTTTAGTTATATAGAGAATTTTATTTATTTATTTATGGACCACACATTCAACACAGAGGACAATACATATATAAAAACAGAGTACATAGGCCCATAGAATGTTTTTTTTTGTATTAATAGTTTTAGTCCTTAATTTATTTTGTTTTCTGGCATTTGTGTGTAGGTTTAAGTTATGATGGAACTGGAGTGAACTGTGTTCAAAAGTTCCTAAAAAAGAATTAAAAAAAAACTGCCACGTCAAAGTTCAGTGAATACTATTATCTCAGAACTGGCGAAGCCGTTGGTAGAAACTAGCATCATTTTATACTTATTTATTCGAATTTAATGAAGCGGGCACATGCGAAGGTAAAACGTTTCATAAATCAGATAGGTATGTACTCGAAAGTGTTATCGATATCACTGTAACATTTGCGTCCGTTTACAATCATTAGAAACACACATGAATAATACAATTTTCCTATCTTTCATCGAGTTTGTAATTAATCTAGAACTCTTATCAGTGAGTTAGGTTATCATTTAGTTATCTATAAAATGTATTGTTGAGTACCTTTTTGTTTATCGAGGGAGACCGACTAAGTATAGACATTCAAGTGTTAGTTCGAGGACAACTCTCCTATTTGAAGTGAGTTCGATCACATTCTCGTCCGTGATTGGTCGAGATTATTCTTACAACCAATGACATGGCAAAATTCGATCGAGCTCACTTCGCTGTTTCGAATTGAAAATTACTGAATGGCCTAGCTGGCTCTAAATTATTTGGAATTACGATAATGCTTTGACTAGTCTCAAGCCACAACGGGGCTCATAGTCATAGGATGCGTGCGCTCGAAATTAGTCTAGCATCATCGAATAGTTTACGTAAGTCGTATATTTGGATTTGTCAGAAACTGTAATTATTCGTTCACGTACAAATTTACTGTAGTTAATGCTACGTCCTGCATGAGCGACCTAGAAGCGAATGCGAAGCAGTGCGATGTGGCGCGTAAACAACTAACTGACGAAACCTATATTGAAGTGTGCTACGTGACAATACGCCCGTGGGATGCGGTGCGGAGCGGTGCGAAATGACGCGGACGCGATTTAGTTTGATATTTTCGCGCGAACTGTTATATTTGGATGCGATGCTGTTACTTTTTTATTTGGATAATAATTGTGTTCGCTTCCAGAGCGCTCACGCAGGACGTGGCGAGTATTATAAGTAGGTTAACATAATAATGTGCACAGATTTCGTGCTGCTAGTATAATATTCAAAATTAATCTAATTTCACTATACCAGACACAGTCACTTGGTGTAACTGACAATATTTTATTTAATGCTTTTTCTTTAATACATAACGTAACTTTTAATCCCCGAAGGGATAGGCAGAGGTACACATTACGACACTTATTGCCACTGTAGAATATAAAACCCACTTTTCTCTATTTATGTTTTGATTCCCGTGTAGTAGGGAGAGAGCCTATTGCTATCTACCGGGCACAATTTCAGATTTCATCCTTATACTGAGCTTTCGAACCCGAGACCCCTTGCCCGGCAGTCGCACTTGCGACCACTCGGGCAACGAGGCAGTCTACAATACACTATTACAGAATTGGATTTTTTTATGTGGCAATCAATGTGATGTGAGCGAGGCCCCACTGTTGAGACTGCAGCAGGGCTCTCTGATAATTCTGAACCTTTTAATACTATATATGATATTACTAAAACCAGCGCTGTATTTAATACTAGCTAATTTCGCGCGGTTTCACACGCTCTGCTCAGCTCCTATTGGTCGTAGCGTGATGTTTTATAGCCTATAGCCATCCTCGATAAATGCGCTATCCAACACAAAAATAATTATTCAAATTAGACTTGTAGTTACTGAGATTAGCGCGTTCAAACAAACAAACTCTTACGCTTTATATAATAGTACCTATATAAGAAGTATAAGATAAATAACAGATGCAATTCAAACTCCGCGCCAAAATGGAAAACAGTTGTGCCAATCTATCAACTACAAAAAAAAACAAAAATTTAAATTTGGAACCATAAACAAATCACCTATTCCCGATACTTTTCTGACTGAATGTATGCTGCTCTCTCTTTTAAAATCTCCAATTTGTTTTTATAATAACTATCGTGAGACATACTAAATTAAGTAGAATCTCTACTAGTTTGCGTGCGCGGTCGCGGCGACGTCGCGCAGCTAAGTGAGCTGCTCATGAGGAAGAACCCCTCTGTGGTTCGAAACTAGTAGAGCTTTTCTCAGTATATTCACGCGAGTAACCCGCGATTTTACTTAATCTCCAATTTGCCTGCACAACATGGATGTTATGACAAAGCTTATGCTCAGGACACTCTCAATGTACTGTCTGGGTTTGTTATTATGTTGTTTCAGTGTAACATTAGAAGTGTGTGTTTTTATATGTGCTTTGACTTCAAATGCCAACACTTGATCTCGAAAGCAGAATAGCGATTTTAGAATAATTTGGGTGACGACAGAACCGATAAAATATAATAAGTACATACTAATTTCTTTAATTAGTATTTTATGTAACATTTTTGTGGGCTTACGGCATTATTGACTTATCTAACTTGTATCAGTTTTAAGTAGATAAAGGACACATTTTTTAAATTCAAATATATACAGTCTACCAATCATAGTTTGGTGAAATACAAATTGGAATTAGTGTTTTCCGTTCCTACTTCCTACTTCTGTAAAAGATAAAATTACAATTACCTAAAATACATCCTACTAATTGCATACTGCCTCGGTTTGATTCCCGGGTCGGGCAAACCTGTTCCTGGGTTTTTTATAAATTCTCAGTAACTGCACGGAGTCTATAATTGTGCCCGGTATATGGCAATAGACTCACCCCCTAT